TTGCAGAAGATGGCGGGGGAAACAAATCGGAAGTGCCGTTTAACGGCGCGTAGGAATTGTTGCTCGGTCTTAAATAGATCTTGGCGGGTCGAGTTGCGAAAAATGTTTTGGGATTTCGAGAGCCTTCTCTCGAGTCGTCTCGAGTTCGCGGAACCTCGCTCTTGATCGAGCCAATCTTTTATCCAATAAACGGCTTCGTCGGCATAAATAAGTCGATCGTCCTTTCCATCGGTTAAACCGGTAAGTCTTTGTCCAGCTGCAAGCGAGATCCGAATGAGAGCCGCAGACGATGCTTGCGAGTCGGGAAGAGAAATGCATTGTCCGTTTGCACGGATGCGCGCGTTCATCATCGCGGAACGTGGTAGCGTTTGGATTTATCGCGCGAATCTCCGGCGAAAGCGAGCTCGAGTGCCGCGCGAAGCCGAAGGAGTCCAACGAGAGATTCGCGGATAAGCTTCCTTCTGAGAGTCGCATTCCTTTCCGCGAAGTTACGACCGTTTAACGTAACCATCTCAAATAAATAGCGACCGTTTTTCTTTCGACTTTATCGTCGAGACTTCCGATGATCGCGGAGTCCCTCCCACGCGACGCGAACCTTGACGCCGAGACGTTGACCGAGAACGCCGCTTTTTTGGACTCGCCCAAAACGTGTACCCTTGAACTTGTTCGGGCATCTCGGTAAAAACGAATCAACGAATAAAGAAACTCGTCGGACCGATCGGTGGACGAAAACAAGCTCCGATCATCCCTCTCCCTCCCGACCTCCGCCCACGCCGGCTCGGACCTTCTCGGCCAATCCCTGTTAAGCCACGATCGCCTTTGTTACCGATGTGCTTTGACTCAAAATTAGGACCTATTATTTCGAAATTATCTTCTCGAGAAGCATTTTCGCCGGTCGGACGAGTTTCGCCTCGACTTCTCCCCGGACAAAAGAGTCGAGCGCGAGCCCCTCGGATTAATTTTGATCCTCCATCGAAACGCTCGGCTAAGGGACGCTCCGATTCTCCGCTCTCAAAGGAAAAGTGACGAACTCTTCTTATCCGATCGTCTGCAATTATGCATCGAGTAGACCGTATCCTTATCACCGCGAAACGCGCACGCTCTTCGCAGAAGTATGCTTTCCCGAGCAGACGAGTCTGCTCGTCTGGTTGTCTGCTTGTCAAGCATTATGACTGACTCGACCTCGTTTCACGTGCACTCTCATCGAGTCAACGTAACGTCTGTTTTATAATTCAATTTAAGGAATCTTCCGACAGACCGCGCCTCGTCGTATCAAGGAAAATGAACGCCTTTGTCCCAATCGACGCCACCCGTGACGTGGCGAACGTTTTTCTTCTTTTTTTTTTTTTGCACAGTTCTCGACAAATCGAAAAGTCTTTCCGCGTTCGGGAAAATCAACTTGACGCCCTGCGAAGAGGACCATTACCGTAAGTGGGAACGACAGGCACCCACGGTGAGATATTCCTCCGAGACCTGGCAAAGACCATCGATATACCGCTTCTCGATTTTAATCGATCCTCTCCCCCGCCTTAATACCGTAATCCAGCGATTGTCCGAGATGCGCCGAGGCGGCCGAGACAAGAAGCTCCGATTGTTCGGCCTCCCGTTCGCGGACCAATTCGCATCTCTGGGTGCCGTGACTATACGAAGCCCCGTAATAATTGGCGTCGCAGGAGTAGGCAATATAATTTTTGCTTACATCGCCGGTTTTATCTCGATTGACGCAGCGACAAGACGGCCAAGATAAATCGCGACCGCGAGTGCGCGACGCTCTCCTCGACCGCGTGGAGGGCCCTTTGATGGGTTTCAATCTCCCTCGAGAAGTTCGTCGAGCTCTTTCTCTTTGTTTCCTCTTCGGGCCGCGATGCTCGCTCGATTGGAGCGGGATTATGCAACTCCACTTGACATTGAGCATAATCGGATTTTCCTGAGGATATCGCGCCTATTTACCGATACCTTGCGCACATGTTTCGCCCCTCTCGGACGGTCATCCCCGGACGCACCGCATGCGTTTTATTCCACCCATACCATTTTCTATCGCGAGCTGCACGTGTTCGGCATGATCGAACATCTGTGGATTAGCGGATCGTCACCTCGGGTCGATTTCGAAATTGGGCGCATGCGGGACCGCGCGGGTCTCCTTGCTCGTTTTCCCTCCGCGACCATGGTGGCGCGATGTCGCGAAGGATGATCGATCGAAATAGCCGGTAACGGGTAAACGTTCGCTTCCGTGAAGTAGAAGTCTCCCGAGGACCGCTTTCATATCCCGAGATCTTCCCGGTAATTCGGGGAAGAAAAATACGCAAGTGCCAATTCCTAGCCTTCTTTTTAATCCCCGGTAGAAGCGCCAGAGCCACCTCTCGTTTCGCAAGATTCGCGAGAACGTCGGTGGTCCTGGGATCGCGAATAGAGAAGTCGGTTTCTCAGCATCCTGACGCACCGGAAAGCCGCGTATCGGAGGAGCCGCGACGGTTCTCTCTCGTTGGCTTCTGGTAGCCGCATCCCCACCATCGATGGCGGCGCTTGTGTACGCTCGAGCAATGGACGCCAGATATAAGCCGGGCGGCTCGAGTCGGCACGTAGACCACCTTCGACACTCGGACCCGAAAGAGCACCGCGAGAGCTTAAACGCGACGCTATCGGGACATCTCGTTGCGGTGGTGGGAAAAGTGAACGCGAATCGATCGAGGGGTAGCGAGCGATGCGCTGAAGAGGGCCCACAGGGACTCCAAGATCGACCGCGGACGAGCCGCAGAGGGCTGAGTCGCGGACATCCGCGTCGAGAAATTGCAAAGTGCCGGTCGCGACAATCCTGAGGCTACTCGGCGCCAGCGACTTCCATCTCCGGCGCCGTAAGGCGCAGACGCGTTGAAGGGACCGCTTCCGGTCCCGAGACTCTCGAGAACCGATTTTTCACGAAAATGGTCGGCAGGTTGGAAGGCCAGGTCGAGACCGGCAAGATGGAGGACTCCGCCACCTGTTACGGATACCTTCGGACTCTGGCCGATCTCACTGCCATGGCCAGCATCCTGGCCGTGCAGGTACGGCGCTTTTGACTCTCCCTCCCCCGGGGGCAAGCCGCCTCGCGCGCTCCCTCGAGTAGAAAGCTCCGAGAGCGGAAAATAGGCGCTAATCGGAGTAATTTCACTCCTCGGAGTTCCCGCGAACGGGATTCGCGGGAAACGGGAAATTTCGAAAGTTTCGGGAAGCGATTCCGCCCCGAACGATGAGTCAAGCTCTATCGCTTAATGCGGTGTTAACGGCTGCGGCGCCTTGACATAAAAAGAAACGATAAACCGTATCGATTTGGGTCGATCGCGAAAGTTATCGCAATGGACTGGGACGGGTCTTCGAACCACCGTATCTGATACAATTAATACTAATCGCTCTCTCTTAACGGTTTAACGCTCGAGTAGAGCGATCGGCGATCTCGTCCCATGCCGAGAAGCGAGCGATTTTTGCAAGTTTTGAATAAGGAGGATATGTCGTAATTTCGATTTTTTTTTGACGCGAACGATGGTTCTTTAAATCGAAGATCGATCACCGCGAGAATTACGGAGACGTATCGATCTTTCGGGACGTCCTCCGATTGGTGAACTTTGAGCGTGAAAGTTATCGGAACTCCCTGCGATATAGGTCTTTGATCGAGATCGCATCTGATTCAATTAACCCTAATCGTACTTCTATCCCCTGTTTCTTTGTAAGACGATAACGATCTCTGGAGGGACAATCTCCGCGCGCGATCGCGACTTCTAGTCTTATTCTCGAGAAAAACATGCAAATAGCGGGACCAGGAAAATCGGTGACGGCGATCTTTGAACGCATGTTGCGACTTCCCGGAATCAAAATATTATCGATCGCGGACACAAAAGTATCGAAGTGTACGTCGCGTCCGATTATCGGGAGACGCGTTAACAATTTTTCTGCATTTCCGTCTATCTATATCGCTCGTTATGCAATCCCACGTTGCCGTTGTAATTGTCCCGTTTTTCTTCGCTCTTTTTTTCGCGCAATTTCAGCACTTCGGCCGTTTAATACCCGCAATCCTGGTCATACCGTTGCCGTGAAATTATCGCGGTTTACGTTTCGCGAAACGTAATTCACGGTCTCCCCTGGATTTTCTCGGTAACGATCGTCCCTCCGGCTGTGCGAGACGTTCAAGTACGCGAACTGCGTAGTCGACTTAAGGGTACCGGCTCAAATTGCGGAAAACCATTAACGAGCTCGTCAAGGGATAACGCGCGCCAATAGCTCGTTGATCCTGCGTCACCGGAGTACGCACACCGCGACATACCCGGACACAGCCTCGGATGAGACGCTTCCTGTACGTTGACACTGACACCCAGGCGCGCATTCCTACGAGGGAAAAGTGCCCGGAGTGCATCGGACGCTCGTCAAGAGATAACGGCTCTTAACCGACGCACGGAATGCTCGGACCGGACTTTTACACCGTTTACTTTGACTCGCGAGATAAATGTATGAAATTTCGAGGGAACGTCAAGAGGAGGTGCACTCGAGTGCATCGCGCGACAACGACTCGCGACGGTGATTAATGATTGCTCGGTGACCAATCGACTCGTCAACACCTTGTCTCGCGATAGAAATTTATCGGTATCTGGTATGGGGCTCGTCGTAAGAGAACGCGTGCCAGGAAAAGATCGTTGATCGACGGTAAGGAATCGACGTCGATTCCACTTTGAGCATTCGCGTCGAATCGCGACGTAGTCGAGAACTCGATCTCGCGTTTGGCACGAGTTCCCCTGGTCCTAGAACCAAATCGAGGGTCACGGCCATCGAGCGAACGAGAGTCGATTAATGCCATCGATCTCGCCCCCGTGACTCGCGAGTGGACGTCCACTGGGCAGCGTTTGCCCCTTTTCATTATCGAAATGGACAAACTTATTGTTAGCCGAGGTCTGGCTTTATTTGACCCTATTCCGAGTTCGATGAACTCCAGATTGGACGGAACCAATAACCCTGTTCGACGTTTCTGTTCGCAGTTCAAGCGGATGCTGAACAAGGAGCTGTCACACTTCTCCGAGTCCTCCAAGTCCGGGAATCAGATCTCCGAGTACATCTGCAGTACCTTCCTGGGTGAGTTAATTCGTGTCTAATGACAATACGTCGCTCCAGGTAAGACCCCGTTTCGCCAGGCAGACTTTGGACTACGTGCGGAATTTCCGGACAAAACGCACGTCCGGAATCGGAGTTGTATTAGACCTTCGCAGAAGTTCACGTACTCGGGGTCGTTATCGCAGCTGATTTCTGCGTGTCTTCGACGCAAGCTAACTTTGGCGATTTATCGGCAGGTCTCGTTAAAAGACGAGATAAAGATGGATTAGGTAGACTCGTTGTTTATTTGCGCCCACTCGTCCCAAGCTCGAATAGATCGGTGCGGCGCCAAGTGCGATTACCTCGGACTTTGATAACGGCGAGACGTGTTTTCGTAGAAAATTCGTACCCGAGGGAATTCTAGCAAAGCTAACTCTCGATCCGACCCTTCCAGACAAACAGCAGGAGATCGATCTGCCATCTCTGCGCATCAAAGATGCCGTGGGTGGAACCGCAGGTGTCGATGCGAGGACCGCGAAGAAGAAGGACCGGGTGCAGAGAGGTCCTGCCGCTATGTCGCACATAAGCGGCGTTAAACGGCCATTGACGCACACGAACAGCTTCACCGGTGAACGAGTACCTCTACACGGAGTCGAGACCCCCCACGAAGAGGAGCTGGGCAAGGTGGGTAACGCTAGGTCGAGCTTTAAACCCGATCGAAAAACGCGACTCTGGACGCTCGGTTGTATAAGAGCAATTCGAGAACGGAGCGAAAATAGCATCTTGTCGGATGCATGAAAATGGCGCTAACGACGTAGCCGAGTAATTTCCTGCTCGTCGGAAGAGCGCGGGAAGAAAGGATCGAGGAAAGGTCGCAATTGCAGCTGATCTCGCGCCTCGTAATAATTGGCCGATGGGGCTCCTCGCGTAGATCCCGACGTGAATAGGACTAGTTAAGCTAGCTCTGTTTTCCCAGCGATACCAATCTACGAATCAAGCCGAGGAGACGACCTACATGTTAAACGCCGCGGAGCGCCACTCGGTGACTCCCTAATTGGATAAACAAAACTATCGAGCGACTGCTACGTCCGATGTGCGTTAAGGCGGCTGCGGTATCGCGATCTCGGCTCGACGTCCCACGCGGCGTGATTACCCGTTTGTTCGCGGTTTGTTCCCAACGACCCGGTTGATCGGCCGGATTGTACGATCGAGATTCCAAACCGTGCACCAGGAAGTGGACCGGCGAATTTCTGCCTTCGACCGGATATTTGGGATTCTATTATGTGAGGTCGACAATGGAGGCAAAATCGCACCTGACAATGGACGCTGCAAAGGGTGAAGGGTTTCAAGAAATAATCGCGGCACCGACCGAGTACGTCATTAATGACATCCTTGGGTGGAATAAGATATTTTAGGCTCGTGGAAGACAAAGCAACCGTCAGACGTGGCGCCGTGCCATTTAAGGCAACTTGATCTGGCCTCTGGTGTAGAATGTCGTTTCCACTCCCACGCGTTGTGATTCAATAGATACCCACTTATGCTCAGGCTGCTCCTCGCGGGTATCGATGACCATCCGAGTTCCCTGTCGACTCGAACTGTCTGGACGTTTAAGGCGTTACCAAAGGGTCATCCTGAATATATCCAAACGTCAAAATATTTTTAAAACGAACTCGCGAAACTTCATTTTCTGAAAAAAAAAAAAAGTACTTATTCCAGACACGAAGAAAGAAAAAATGTTTTGTCGAAATATAAAATTTCGCTAGTTCCAAGACCTTCGTTGGTATCTGCTTAAACGCGGGTTAAATTTTCAAATCATACGGTGCACCCAGTTTGGAGAAGAGTTTTATAAATATTTTAACTCTGATATATATAGAATGACCCTTTCGTATCACCTCGAGTCCCCCGTGTTCAGACTCCGTAATAGGATTCCGAATGCCTGACCGAACGGGTTAATTACCATACGCGTTTCGCGAACCTTGCTCGACGCGACCAGCGAAAAGTGCACGCGACGTGTCTCGTTGCTACCTAACCTCTATTTCCTCCGTTTGCTCGAACACGGTCGACCGAAGTAAGGCAATACGATGTCATCGGCGTAGTATGTCGGTTGTTATTCACGAGGCACGCCATGTGCGGGATAGTATAAGCCTTAACCCATCGACCGGTCGTTCGAGGAGCGCAAAACCGACCTAATGAAACGTTCGTTCGAGCAGCTCCTCTCCGACATCGACAAGTGGGGCGTGGACATCTTCAGGATAGGGGAACTGAGCAACAACCGACCGCTCACCTGCGTGGCGTACACAGTCTTCCAGAGTCGCGATCTGCTCAAATCTCTGGCGATCACGCCGAAGACGTTCGTTACTTTCATGATGACCCTGGAGGATCACTACGTGAAGGACAATCCCTTTCACAACAGCCTGCACGCGGCCGACGTGACGCAATCTACGCACATCCTGCTCAACACGCCCGCCCTCGAGGTGAGCAAAAGACGGGCCATTGTCCGACCTTTTCTAAGCTGGGGGTATAAACGAGTGCGCATCAAAGAACGTAAACGGTTCAGTTTGTATAATTGACCCTTTAATGTCCCCTTAGTCCGTGTTCACGCCGTTGGAGATCACGGCTGCCCTGTTCGCCGCCACCATCCACGACGTCGACCATCCCGGGCTCACGAATCAGTACCTCATAAACTCAAGTAAGTACCGAGATTTGAGCTCTTCGAGCAACCGAAGCTCGCGTTGACTTTCGCTCGAAACGGCCGAGTAATTGATTGGAATCGCGAAAAGCTAGATCTTGGAATTGCGTCGTTTCAGGTTCGGAGCTGGCCCTGATGTACAACGACGAGTCCGTGCTGGAGAACCATCACCTGGCGGTAGCGTTCAAGCTCCTTCAGAACGAAGGATGCGACATATTCGTTAGCTTGACGAAGAAGCAGCGCCTGACGCTGCGGAAAATGGTGATCGACATGGTGTTGTCAACGGACATGTCGAAGCACATGACCCTGCTGGCGGACTTGAAGACCATGGTGGAGGCGAAGAAGGTCGCGGGTTCGGGAGTCCTGCTCCTCGACAACTACACGGACAGGATCCAAGTGCTGGAGAACCTGGTACACTGCGCGGATCTGTCGAACCCGACCAAACCGCTGCCTCTGTACCGCCGGTGGGTGGCTCTGCTAATGGAGGAGTTCTTCCTCCAGGGCGACAGGGAAAGGGAGCAGAACATGGACATCAGCCCCATGTGCGATCGACTCAGCGCGACCATCGAGAAATCGCAGGTCGGCTTCATCGACTACATCGTCCACCCCCTGTGGGAGACGTGGGCCGACCTGGTGCATCCAGACGCCCAGGAAATCCTAGACACCCTGGAGGAGAACCGCAGCTGGTACAAGTCCATGATCCCGCCGTCTCCCCCCGCCGAGGACCAGCAAGCCAACGACCAGCAGTCGGACAGGATCCACTTCCAGGTGACCCTGGAGGAGGGCGACGAGTCCGGCGACGTCGGGGACATCGGCGACGCCGGGGACCCCGGCGAAGGCGACGGCACCCCCGGCGTAGAGGGCGGCGAGGCCGACGAGGGAGCCGGGGAAGCTGGGATGTGACGGAGGCTGGCCGTCATCTGCAAGAAGTTTCACGAGAAGGTGCAGCAGACTTGGTGGCGAGTTCGTCAGTGACACCAAAGTCCTCTCCGTTCCGGTGTCCCGGTCGGTAACCCGCGGGGTGGATGGTGCCTCCCGACGGGCACCCGAGCTGACCCCTGATCGCGAGCGGACGCAACTCCCCGGGGGCTCTGGAACACGAGGTGGAGCCCAGGGTTACGCCTTCCCGGCTCGGCTGGACCGGGTTCGAGGTGAAGAGACGCGACCCGAGGGGTCCGTTGATCGCGCGTCGACGCCCTCGTCCAAGGAACTCGACGAAGGAACTCGAGCTGGAGAAGAAATCTCACGATGTACCTGTGTCTCGACGAGCGCAGCTTTTGGAACGCCGCAGCGGACGAGGTCCCTGGGACCGGCCGAGAGAACGTATCGATTCGACGAGACGGGCCGGGCGCGCCCGACAGGCAATCGGTCGAGGACCTCCCGTGTCGATTTGGACCTCGGCTGGCCGTCCCGGCGCCGTTTGTCGGTCAATCGCGGCGAGAGGTCATCCTTGTCCTGGCGGACACGGATCGTTCAATGACATATCACTGGTTAGAGGTACAACGTCGGCACGGCGAGAGCGGGAACGGGCAAGGGAGGACGAGCGATCGGGAGGTAAACGGGGAGGAGGATCGATTGTTCCGACCTGGCGAGGTGCGATATTTCACGGACGCGTGATCCATTTTACAACGTCAACTTTTTATCATTTCCCGCGTGTAAAGTCCGACGCGCGGCGGACACTTGTATAGGCGCGACCACGGAGTCGCGAGCAAACGGGGTGAACTTGAATTCTACCATGAGCTTATTAATCGACTGTTTCTCTTAAATCGTAGTCGCTGCGCAATTGTCGGCGTACGTAAGACCGCTGTGTTCGTCGATGTCGGGACTTTCCTTGCCCGCCGAAACGGGGAGCGTTCGAGAGTCGATCCCCTCGGTTTTTAGTTTCTGGACGATCGGTCTCGAGGCGAAGGTCGTGGATTCGAGGAAGACGAGAATGGCCGGTTGGGAAAGAGCGAGGCGAGTCGACGAGGCCGCAAGGAGAACCGAGATTCCATACGTTTCCTTATGCTTGGTTTTCCGATTAACTCGATTAGTACCTTACGGTAGATGAGAATACCTATCTTGAATGTAAGATTTTGTCTCGATCGCTTATTAGGGTCTAGCGCTATAATTAAAAGAAATCCCGACAAGTAGCATCGCAAATCGGAAGGATCTCTCGTAACGAAACGCGCGCGGAAGTTAGTCGAGCAAGACGTTACATCCCGCCGACACCGAAGACACTCACGCAACAAACGCGACACCCCCACGCGCGCGCGCCCGCGTACCATGGGATTAATGGGAGGAATTAATTTTAATGCGCGACCAAGCGAGAGCTGGCCTTTTCGGTCGGTATTAAAATTAATTCGCGATCGAATCACGCTTTCTCCGCCCGAATAATGTAACGCGGTTCCACGACGAGGGCAGCTAGAGGTGGGAGGAACCGCGAATCTAATTAGTAATTGTTTTTAACCAAAGAATAATGTTAGTTACGTACCGTAAGCGATCATCGAGAGCGCCCCGACACCCGGTAACCATCGCCAATGGTCCATTTCGCAGCTTGTAACGACGATAGCGGGTAGACCTTTTAGGAACTTGTATAAGTCGATGTGCTGACACCCTATTCGCTTGAATGTCTCTCCATGAGCCGCTCAAATCACGAGTCGTCGACTAAACGAGCTCTCGCAACGATCGTTCCTGTGGCGCTCGCGAACGAGTCTTTCGAGGAGGTCGTCCTGCCCTCGGCAATGGTTCTCGACCGTTAAGTATTTTTACAAACGAGCGCGACGCCGCTGCCGAGCTTTCGTTAAAGAGTCTTCGTCGAATACCTCGTCGCGACATCGGTTTACGAGGACACGAATGTCCTCGTTGGCTGCCTTTGGCTCGAGGGGGCAAAGTATCCCAAAGAGGGTTACGGTCGACCGACGTCGTCGTTAAGGGGGGCTTTCGTTTCGGCGACGCGTTCGCGATTTCTAGTCCGAAGACTGCCTGCTTGGAAGATTCGCCGGCGAGTCGCAAGCTCTAAAAGTCCCTAAACTAAGTAGAGTTAAATCAGCGAGCCGAAACGGTACCGGAAGATCAGCCTTGCTGGACAAAGCGTCTCGACAAATGACGGGTATAAAGCGTCGAAATGGAGTACAGGGGAGAGAAACGGAGAGTGAGAGCGAGGAAAAGATCCGTGTAATGTATCTAAGTCTAATGTAATCGTCCTACTACCACGAGAAATCTGTATCTGTGTTGTAGCATTGATTCTAGTAAGTGTTTGGTGCTGGCCACCAAGTTTAGGGTTATTATGATAACGAATACGAGTAACGTTAAGACGAGTAACTTAAAAAATTAAAAAAAAAAAACAACAAAAACGAAGACGTAGCGCGTAAGTCAACGAGGTTGTAAGAGACGCTCGGGAAAAACGAGAGAGGGAGAGAGAGAGAGAAGGACGTGTCCTGATCGCTTCGGCGGTACAGTGACATCGTTTGTACAAATCAAATATCAACTGGTGTACCTTCGCGTTGAGCTTGGTACGGCGGAAATACCATTTGTTTTAATATTAAGAAAGTGTTCAAGAACGATTAAGGGAGAGGGCTTTCGGAGGGCGTACGAGACGCGGAATCGATAGCCAGTGTTGTCGATTACGTCGGAACGTAATTCTTTCGCAACCTTGAAGTCGCAAATCGGAATTCGTGAGGTCGATCGGAAAATATTAATTTCTCATCTAATTGTTTCAATGCTCGTAATTCTTAGTAGTGACTTTTACAGCAGGCCGATAGGCCGTACTTTTTAGCGTTTCACCGCGTCTTTGACCCGTAAACTGTAGTCGCGGTGTAATCGACAACGCTGGCAAAGAAGGGGAAAGAAACGAGAGAAACCGAACCCGCCGTTGAATATATAAGGAGGAAGATTCGTTTGCGTGATAGTGAAAAATTGCCAAATATATCGGGAATCACCGAAAGGGTTGAAACTCTTGTCCATTCCCTGCGACGAGTTTCATTAAATATCCGTTCGATTAAATCGCGTTCGCGTTGGAAAAATCGATTTAAAACTTACCGATTGTCTTCCCTGAAATCGAGACCTCGGATCTCCAATGTCAAACTTGCAATTATTTCACTGAATATTATGGGAACTCTAGGTGATTATTTCCCGAAATCCATTGAATATGCTTTGGGCATTTTTACTTGAGAAAATTAAGTTTGGGGAGAATTTTAAATCCGACTCCACGGAAACTTATCGATTGGTTCGTATCGTGAATTCACCGAAGAAAGGTCCCTTCCGAGAACCGAGCAAAAGTCGCGAAACTCAATGTTGCCAATAAATAACGCGTCGTCGATCTTGATCCTTATTTGTTCAACGGCACGGCGCAGGGAAGATTTAATAACCGATTACCCTTGTCGAAGGATCTCGCGCACACGCAAGTATCACACGCAAGAGAACCCTCCGTTCGCATCTAACATACCACGTACACCCTACATACACGCGTACATTACGCAGTTTGTCAATTGTTCGCTGCAGCACTGATTCCGGCGCGTTAAAGTAACACTTTCTTTTCCCGAGAAAGAGACTCTCTCATCGCTTAGGGATTGCTCTAACGACGTTTTCCTTTTTCCAGTACGACAATTGCGACGACTTAACGAGATGTGTATTAATTAAACAAAACGACAAAAAAACAAATGTGTTTGATTGCTGGACAGTTAAAAGAACATGTATTAATATCGTGTAACCCTCGTATGAGATATATGTGTAATAAAAGCATATTTATTGTCGGATTCAATGACTCATTAGTTCCTATGCCGACATCTCGAACAAATGTTACGTTTCGTGGATCGCGAAAACTCGGAATAACGAATGGTCCTGTCGATTTCAAACAGTACGAGTTCCACTACCCTGAATTAATTTTTTTTTTTAATAACGACAAGCTGGGAGATTCACCAGTTGAAGGGTGAAATAAGTCGACACACTCCTGCTTAATTATTTGTAAATATATTATCGAGTAACATCTATAATATAATAATGAAAAACCATTTATATTAATAAGTATCATTGTAATATGTCAATTCAATAGTGAAACACTCAGTATGTATAGATTTCGTAGCTTCCAAGCGTGGTTTCCCTTTTTCCCTTTGGAATAGTACTGCCGGAACTCGCGTCGCACGGTTTCGGAAAATCTTTTTTTTTTTTAAACAAGTACGAGACTTTCGATGATACACTCGGTTGTTGGAATCGCGTATTTTTATTACCATACCAAAAGAAAATGTTCTCGAGCATCCTTAACCGCGATTACCTTAATCTATCCTCGTTATTGCGGTATATTGAAGTGTTTATCGTTTACTTCTTTATAAAATCGATGGAAATTACCAAGTACGCTGCTAAGACTAGAAAAGGTAATAGTCGTTGTGTTTCATTCTACGGATAATAACTTGTGTCGATTACATTGCGAGGGGATTGCACAAATTCTCATAACGTGCTTTCTCGAAGTACCGTTTTCCTCAAATTTAACATAACTCGAGAGTGTACAGTTACAGTCTTGGTAACCAAAGCAAATAAAAAACGAAAACAACTTCAATTCCACCACAGATCCATCAAGAACATTAAGTTCATAAAATAAAAAAAAACGAGATAATACTGTAGTATTAGGTAACATCACATCTAGATTTTCTTTTTCACGGACTTACCGCACGGTATGACTAGCAAATAATTTTTTAATTAATATTGGACCAATTATTATAACGATACTTTCTGAGTGAGTACGGCGCTATGTAATACTTTCAAAATGCGGTTGGCAGAATTTAAGATCTCTTTTTCTCGGATGGAAACCGAAATAATTTTATCCAATCGTCCAATGACAATAAAAAATTCGCGAATGCAAAATCTGACCAAGAGGCATTGCTAACGCAACTAAGACGTATGGAACTACAGCTCGAATACGTCAATTTTTTAAAAAAGCACCATCAAAGTAGAATCAACGTTTCAACATAAATCTACTGGGATAAAGTATAAAATCAGTGACTTTACGTTTGATTCAAGTACCCTGGAATCGTCGCCCTTTCGTCTGGACGTGGTAACGGAATTATCGTAGGAAAGCCTCGGTTATCCGATGTGCCATGCCAACGTTCTTAACATGGAACCGACCAATAGTACTTCCCTACTCGAATTAAGCCTACTATGTACAAATAGGTGGAGGAACGTTGAGGCCGGAAAACTGACGTCTCTCGTTTTCAAAAAGGAGCATTTCTCGGACAAAATTTAGACTCCGAGCAACGAGCCACGGACTCGCTCCTTAGTGACTTCAAAATCGAAATGTCGTCGATTAAACGCTCCAAAATTTTAAATACCGAGACCCTAATAGTTGTAAAGACGTAACTCGGCGGCTCCTCGTGCGCTTAAATTAGCTAGTAGTGTACAATTTATAGCCAACACCAATTATCATACTCCGAGCGATAGTCGACTAATGTACATTGCACGCGATGAGTACTCTCTTCGTTTCGTCGTTCAAGACCAGCTCTTTAAAGTAAAATAGTTGAGAGTGAAAAATATTTATACTTTGTCGAGTTTTCGGGTTCGTTGAAACGAATTCGGTTCGAATCGAGGTTGGCACCCCGTAGCTCGGCAAAAAAAGGAAAACGTAACAACTATATAGACCGACTTATACAAAATGGAAGTTCCGACTTAGGCATATTTAACCAGATTTCTTAATAAGGACCGGATTAATTTAAAGACTCGCGTTCCAAGTTAAACTTCTCATAGAAAATTCTGAAACAACGGTATGCATCGTGGTTGAAGCGCGGAAAAAATGAAGACCGATCACTTGAAATAAAAGAAAGCGTACTTAACGCCAACTCTCCTTCGAGTCGAATCTGCGCGGGGTACATCTCGTTCGTTCCTGGTATATGACTTGAATCTTACTCTCGGCGGACCGAGGACTGGTCTAGGTTACCATTAATATCGATATGTCAGCTTAGAACTAACTCTTTCGACGCGCGAAAGGATTGTTTTCGTCGGAAAGAACGGACATTGTCGCGCGATCCGCATGAATCCGAGTTTTTCCAGCACCGTGCGAGCATCTCGAAGAACCGGTCCGGTTAAGGAGGCGTCATCGCCATCTCGCCTTAACCGGATTCTGGAAGTCCGTTCATTCCATTAGAACTCTTTTTCTCGAGATCGAAAAAGTGGGATCCTCGCACGTTCTTAACACCCGCGCGATCGCGCGACCATCGCGTATCGGCCAGGTCGCACCTTCGCGGAAACTGAAAACGGAAAAAAAAAAAACGGAGCGAACGTTTCGCCTACACGAGACTCCATCTAGGAGACGCCTTAACGTTAACGTAACCGCAACATCGGTGTAATCGATAAAGTACGTCGCTTTACGCCTAGATGCGCGAATGTGGCAGAGTCAGATTAATATGTACCATAGTCTCTCTCTCAATCTACAGTCAATACTCAATTCGTATAATATTGGCCCCAGCACCCTTATTTATTATACATCGTCTTAAGGTACGTTCACACCGAGACGGCGTACACCGGCGATTCGGGACTGGAATCCTCCCCTTCGTAACGTCTCCTGATATGTGTACAGGGCGCGACCGTCCCGTTCTCTGGAACTCGGGAAAATATTCCGATTGCTCCCCGTCGGGTCCATCGAGCTCTAAGATAAATGTACCGGTAACTTTTCCCACCCGGCAAAGTCCCGACGAGACCTCGTAAACGTAATTGGAAATCGCCAAGAGGACGGGTCGGCGGAGTCCGACCTAGGCCGCGCTATCCCACGCTATCGATAAACGTATCTTATCGCGCGACGACTTTCGATCCCTCCGAAGGATCGAGGGATCGAAGGATCCCTTGGCCGAGTGCAACACCGGCAAGAGTTTGCGTCTCTTCGATACGAGCGTCCGCCGCGGGAACACCGACCCTCGTCGTTCGCGTCGACGACGCCGCCATGTTGCGAGGAACTAACGTCTCCCTCCTCCCCGCGCCGTTTCACAAAGCGGTTAAAAATTAGTCATTAATTCGACTACCGTCTTCCGGCGGTATTAACGCGCGGAGAGGAATTATCCGCTTACGGCGCGGGCACATCGCGTCCGTGGAGATACACCTACTACGTACAGGCGCGTCATAGAATTATTACAAGTTTGCGCAGTCGGATTTCCACGACTCGGTGGCAAAATTAGTCCGCGGCCCTCGCTACGCCCGCGATATACGTCCTGCTAAATTCCACGTTGCATTAGCACGGGCCAACTTCCTGATTGTTTCAGCATATACGTCGGGAACGGAACGGTTACTAAGCGCCTAGGAGTGTCATGCGATCCCGAGTGCAGGTTGCGCGAATGCATACGCGAAACGACCCGACGTTGCGGACTAACTTTTTGTCCTGACAATTTTCGATCGCGAATCCGGTAATTGAAAGCAGGAGTAGCGCGCGAAAATGCCGAGAGATTCGCGATTCGGTCCCTTTGGAGAAGACCGTTTCGCGTTCGATCGCTCTTAATCCAAAGTCCATCCGTTGCTCGTCGGTCGATGGGACCTCGCCGAATCGCCGTCGAGTCTCCGAAGGTTACCGATGTTTCCGCGGGAACGCGAAGGGCAGGAGTACGTTTAGAAATGTAAAAAATCTACATCCGAGCGTCGCGATCCGCGTCTCGATTCGCGGGTTGCGGAAATTCGCCCGATCTCGGGCGGAAATCGTTCCTACGAGAGAGCACACGGGAGCGACCCGAAACCGTAACAAAGAGTGGACAGCCCGGAACGCACCCTCGTCCCGTGACCCGGATGAAACGAACGCGACAAACCCCTGATGGGATACGCGGAAAACGCAGTTTCCGGCCGTGGAAAGGCGTGCACGCGCGCGGTCGGTCTCGACGTCCTCGAATCTGCCACATTCGCGACCGATCGTCACCCTGCCGCACCTCGAGTGCTCCAAATCCCCTAAAGATACACGATTAGCGTTACTTTCTCCGACTTCTAGGGCCTTAACGATTTTACTGTACAGTGGCCGGGCGGTGGCCTCGGATTCAACGGGATCACCTCGCGACGTGCACGCTCAGCAGGATGCCGAAGAGGACCGGAAGAGTTCTCGATGACCTCAGGGACGACCACGCCGAGGAGACGTCGCTGCACTGGGCTGAAACAGGGTGCGACGTCGAGTCGCTCGATAAGGCCATCGCTACTCAAGGAAATGCGTGCACCAAGGGAGAACGGAGCCCTTCGCGACTCGCGACTAGTCCCCATAAACGAATTTCAAATTCGAGCTGGCGTCGAATTTAAAACCATTCCGCGTCGCCCTTTTGGTTCGGGACGAAACGAGAATCGAAACGATCAGAATTTGACATCTGGGGGTGGAACGACGATGCGGAGGATGATTAAAATGATTAAAATTCTGGGAAGGGTGAAATTTGCGTACCGTGTGCCGTGAGGTTGACCTGCCACACTTGCTGATGGTGCGGGTGAGAAGCTCTCGGACACGACGCGAGATGTCCCGTCACGGAGAGGTATCTACTGTTAGAGGACGAGGTGGACGCGCTGTACACCAAGCAGTACCTCGCCGCGTCGGTACTCGCCACCAGGTAGGCCGTGCCGTTTTCTTCCCAGGTCCCGTGACATCGGTACACTGTAATCGCAAAACAGGGAGATTCGAAAAATGGCATTTGCACTTTTAGGAAAAAACGGGAAGTCTTCCCTTGGAACGAATTTTTGCTAAATCAGCTAGTGAATTTATAGCAACCGGCAAAAAAAATATTATCGTCCCAAATCGATCGAATGGACGATATACGGTTTGTCGACGCGAGTAACGAAAATTGCCCCTACGAATAGAATTTTGGTTGCCCCGGAGAATTAATCGGTTTTTTCTCGTCGATAAAACGAAAGCGTATCTGGAAAAAATATTGCTGGCCCATTTTCAAGCGTTCACATTCGCCGCGGACAAGTAAAATTTCTTTTTACGATCATCGAGCGTTCGCTGGCGAGGGCGGAACGGGGCACGCGGACCCAAAAGTTACCGCGAATTTATGTACCCCGGCAATCTCGACTCGGTATCCGATACGCACGAAATTCGACGCGCAATCGGCTGATTAAATAACGCCGAAGTTTCGAGCATATTTGCCCCGCGCTGCAACGAATCATCCGTTGGCTGGCGGGGGGTAATTCGAGCCCGCGCGGCCGTTCGGTGCAATATTAAGGAACGCGTGCACTCAAAAGTGCAGAGAAACTCGTCAAAAACGGGAGCGCGAGAGCACGAAGGAGGGAAGCCTCTTCGCTCTCTCTCCCTCCCTCCTCCGGGAGTCTGGCGAATTTATCGCCGGAAACTCGCGCAAACATCTCGACGCTTCGTTGGTCTTCAACATTTATTCCCCTTTGTCGAAAGAGAGCGAAGAGTGCCTTAACTTTCCTCCTCGCCGGCGAGGAATCGGTCACGAGGCTTCTCTTCTCGCTCCCGACTTCCGTCCGCCCCCTCTCGCTCGGCCTCCGAACAAAGTAATTTGCAAGCGGGACGGAGCATGAAAATTTCCTCTCCCGTCTCGCCGACGGTGTCAAGAAGTGGGAGAGATCGCGCTGGATAATTGATTTTTCATCGGCCGGGGAAGCCCTCGAACGTCGAGTTACGAGGCTCGCCGGCAAAGTGGCACCCTCGGGAGGGAACGCTTGCAAACTCCAGAAAAGGAACTCGTTTCGTCGCGTAATGCGCAGCGCCGGTTCGATCGGTTTTAATTTACGGAACTCGAGGCGTAGTTTATTTAAGCCGAGTCGGTGGGAGAGCTCCGGGGACCCGATTCTCGAGTTTGTGCGGATTTTTTTCGCAATAGAACAAATTCCCCCGAAACGCTTTACACCGTTGCGAAGTCGCGTCATTGGTAAAAATTTCAAAGTCTTACGCGAAACCGTCAATTTCGCGGGAGGAAGTTGATGGAATGACCTCGAGACCACCCGACCTGACGTTCCGGGCTCTGCTCGAGCGGCGAGAAAGGGCGGCCGAGAGGCAATTAATCCGAATCGATTTGAAATCTCTCCTCGCGAGTTGGCGGAAGGGGCTCCGCGCGCTGCGGCGGTCCGACGTTCCGACGCTACAGACGAATAACCTTCCGCAAACTAACTATTGTCGGTCGCCGTAACTTTGTACGGCGAAGGGTAATCCGATAAGATGTTCCGACCAGACGCGTCGCGTCTCCGCGCCGGGCATTCCCAAAGGCGTCCGTCGTCCAGAACCCAAAGACTGCCTCGACGTCCGGCGTCGCCTTTCGAGGGGACCGAAAGGGTCTGCGGACTCGGGCCGAGCTTCGTGGATGAGTTTCGCAAACACGTCGGGCAGGGGTCGAAGGCCTCCCTCGGGAATCCGTTTTCGCGAGCCGGGACGAGTTCTCGACGCGATTCGAACAAATTAATCTCTTCGTTTACTCCCATCCTGGAACCTGCCGGTAAATCGAGCACGCCGATGTCGGCACGATCGAACAAAGTTTCTCGGACCGATTAAGTGCACCACGGTGCCAACTCCGCGGGGCGTTAAATATTGACGACCCGCCCCGGGTAAACGGATACGCCGAAAGGCGCTCAATAATTAATCGAAGCGCATCCATTATGCCATTTGATGCCCCAATTATCCACGCGAACGCGCCACCCCGGGTAAACGGCATCGTCGGGGCACGAAACGATGCGTCGTCCTCGGGGTTGGCGAACTTCTTAAGGTGACGCGAAAGTGGAGTCAAAGAGGTCTCGTTTATTAACTTTTCGGCGAACTGGGTGTACCGCACCCTTTTAAAATTTCAATACCCCCACTTCGGAGATAAGTTTCGCGAACGGTCGTCTCCTCGGATGTCATCTTCGTATCCCCTTAACTTACCGGACAGCGCCTCGTCGGCGCAAGAAGTGGCGAACTCCATCCGGTCGGGGCTCCTACATCCGATGTCCAGGCCATGGACGTTCCCGTGGTGACATTGCTTCGCCGGCGGAGGCAAGGTGGACGTCAGTTTGACTTCCTGTACCCTGGCGTCGTTTTCATCGTCGGAGCCAATTTCGACCTCCGTGTTCGACATCTCCTCGGCGCCGCTCGTCGCCTGCAGTCGTTTTATCGAGACCACCTCGTAGCGGCCGAGGTACGGGCACTGTCGGTCCATCGGCTCCTCCGCTGGAAATTCCGGAGGAATTAGCGTCCCCGAATGAAACGTCGACCTCGACTCGACGGTGGCGCGAGAAATCCTCGAAAATTCCCGACGAGTGGAGGTGACGTCGCTCGGGCGTTATCGGCGCGCCGCGTCTACTTCCGACCCGTTCTCTTCGAAGAGCATCAAAAAGCTCCGTCGTAAATCTCCGGCTCGCAAATCCGCGGGGACGACAGTCGTAAATTCCGGCTGGGAAGGTAAAGGAGTATTCCGATCGGCGTTATTTCGGCCTCGTCGGCATGGCACGGTCGTCGCGTCCCCTAACGAAGGGAGGTCCGAAAGGCGCGACGCGGAGCCGGAGTCTCGGATGCGGCGATAAAATTCCGCCTCGAGTGACGGCGCTTTGTCACCGCGGGGAACGCGTCGTGCCGACCTTTACGACCGATCCGACGCGTATGATCCTTTATCCGCGACCGTAAAGACGCGAGATCGATCGATAACTCTTGGAAGCGACCGAGAGCGAAAGCCGCCCTCGCCTTCGAGTCGATGACGGCGACTTTGCTTTCCGCGCCCTCGAGGAAGCTCCCTTTCCACGTCGAATTCGCGTCCGAAGACGCCCGGGAACCGAGATGCCCTCGCGGCGTCCGCAGGAGCAGGGGCGCAAGGGGGGAGGAGGAAAGATGGGGAAATCGTGGCGCACCTGCGGCGCGCCCCCGCGATTTCATAGAATCTAATCGGGTAATTAGTAAAGCTCCGTTGCGGGAGCTTCCGGCGCGCCTGCGCGCGAGTGTCGATTCCTCGGGGCCGATTTCCGTCGAGCCATCCAATTTCACAGTTTCGACGGAAGCCGCGCCCGCCGTTAAGGGCGCGTTCCGACGTTAACGGACACCATCGCTTGGCCCCGTGCTTAGGTGCGCTCATCCGAGGGATGGAGACGCCGAATGAATTCGGAATGCGCCCGGAGGGGCGGCGGGGGAGGCAACGGATCGCCGATAACCGACTTTGCCCGGGCAATTACGAAATAGCGCATGACGATACTCGTAAACCTACTCGGCGCGGCCTCCGTAAAGTGCCATTCTATAAGCGATCTCGTATTCCGAACGATGCGTAAAGTCCGCAAGAATCCTCGCCGCGCCGCGGAATTCTAATAACAAACGCGAAACGAGATTGCCCGCTCGAGCCGAAAGCGAAAAGTGATATAAAGTCGGATTAAACGTAACTTACTGATGAACGTCGTGTACGGCGCGGTATGCGGTGTGAACGTGCTCGATCTGCACGCCTCGTCGGGATGCTGGGTCCACGGCTTCGACTGTTGCACCTCGATTATGTGGTCGTCCCTCTTGTGAAATACCAGGCAGACGAATCCGTTTTTGCTGAAAATCGACAAACGACTCGCGTGAAGAGGCATTCGCGCGGAATCCTGGCAGGCACTCCGCGATCGCGCCAAATGCGCGCCCGATCCGACCGCAAGCGGGCCGCGAGCGACCCGCGCGCGGAGCGGGCTAGATGCTCCCGTTGAAAGACTCTTTTTATTCGACGGGGCTCAAACACCGTTTGCAATAATACTCTTAAAGATACCCTCGAGCACGGGCGCCTTGTTAAAGCGATTCGAAACGATATCGAGAACGTATCGATTGAATTTTTTTTTTTTTTTCCGAACTCGCGGATGCACGGATGCAGTTGTCACCGCCGAGTATCTCTTACGGGGGAGGCGAGCGTTTCAGCGGGATTATTCCCGGTTGTGTGCGTTGTCTTTTTGGGGTGGGGACGTTTTTGACAATTCTAGAGACATCGCTCGCATTTATCGTCCCTTTACGCCGGCCGGAATTATTTTTATGACGAAACTCTAGACGCCACTTATACACGTTCCTCGTTCCACGTCCGGCGGTTCGGGGGGTGGAGGTCCGATCCGTCATAAAAATCTCCGACGAGGGGAACGCGTCGATGGAAATCGGCTCGCGCGGGCGCGTCGTCGCTATCCGTAATCGGCGACATAAATCGCCGGAGTCACGACCGAGGTCAGGAAGTTCTTAAAGTCTCGCTATGTATCAAGAGGGTTTGGTCTCGCGATAGGTGGCGAAGGTCGTCGGAGGAATTTGTCAAAAGAAAGGACGTTCGTAGGTGGCGAGGCGTCGAGCGGCGGGACGAGGGGGGACCCTAAATCTCCGGGGAGTTCGAGGGTGAATTAGGGTCTTATTTCATCGCGGCGTCTCTACGACGACGCGTAAAATTCAATACAAAGCCGTTACGGCGCGTTTCGAGGCGGATCGTCGAAAGACGAGAGTTTTTCACGATCTTCGAGTGACTCTGCCTCGACCAGCCGTGGCGCGCGGCGCGCAAAGCCCCGCGCGAGTGGCCCTTGAAAATCCCCGATTAAACTCGCGACATGCGAAAGGCCTTAATTGAGCACCGCAAAAGTCAACCGGAGAAATCGCGACGAGTGCTACTTCTCGGGGTTTGTAAGGGCGCACGTGATGCCACTGTAACCGTCAACCGTCCGCGATTACGGCCCGTAAACTCCCATTAATTTCCGACTTGGTCGATGAAAACCTACGCGACCGAAGTTGGAAGCGCTCCAGAGGTTGAGTTCGCCGTTTTGCTTTTCCACGCTCTAGCCGAATACCCCCTCGGCCGATCGAATCGTTCGATATACTCCCTCGTATCGGCGATCGCTCCATATGAATTTTGCGGGGGAGCGCGAGAGGGGAATATTTCGCGTCTCGGTCGAATCGGAAATAAAACGGAACGCTTTAATTCGATTCGAGTCTCGGAGCTTTTGAGCGGCGAAAAGGACCGCCTTTCATCCCGAAACGCGTCCACCGAGCCGAGGGGCACTGCTACTCGAATTTCAGGGGACGTCGGCCGATTCCTTCCGGCGATTCGAAACTCGAAGTTCGCCGCGCAAGTGTCGCGTCCGGTTTAATTAATTAACTTACACAGGGCTCGATTTGCCCGGGGTTTTCTCAACTCCGACGCAGCCGCGTACCCGTCGCTCGCCGACGTTCCCTGGGGTGAAACGGCGGCCCTTACGGGCGCGTATACGCGTGCATCCCGTTCCACCCGACGCACCCACGGTCACGCTGCTGGCCGTACATGTTCGCACAATCGTATGTAGAACATTACCCAGGATAGGGATACGGATATGGACACGCAACCCGCGACCGAGCATACCGCGTGACCGAAATGCCGACGTTACCGCGTAATCGCGTTAAGGGAACGCGAAACTGGCACCCGCGGTCCCTCGTTCGTGAAACTTTCCTCCGACCTGGGTATATCGTATCCTATCGAATTTAACACCGTGAATGCAGAGGCTACAAGGAAGGCCCCGACGACCATGAAATTTACATTTTTCCAAAATTTCTTCACGGACGTTTCTACCATATTTTCAAAATATGAAATTTCATGGTTGTCAGGACCTTCCTTGTAGCCTTCGTATTCACGTTGTACGGTTTAAACCTAGGCGGTACCCCTACCGGATCGGCCAAACTTTCACGAACTATCGATCCCTCGGATGTTCCTTGCGCATCGCCTTAACCGTAATAATTACGGTACCATGATTTTTCTTCGGAGAGTCGGAGTTAATTCCACTCGTCGAGTTACAGAGAAGGGACGAATTCGCACCTTTGGGTTATCGAGAGCTCCGATCGGCGTCTCTGGAAAATGGCACGAGCGAAATGGCTCGAGGAGGTAACGAGAGAAATGCGAAAGAAAGGAAGATCGGCGCTCGCACTTACGCGCACGTATACTCGGAGGGTCTTTACTAGAGCTGTATTCCGCTTTATAAGTTATATACTTTCCGCATGCACCTGTACGCAGCTGCAACCCCGTTCCATCCTTCCTGCCCAGGGGCTCGCTTCCGGGCGTGCACGCTCCCGCGCACACATATGCAAGACCGCGGATACGCGAGCGGCGCATCGGTGCCCCGACGCACCGGGTGACCGGAACGAAACGTGCCCGTGGAAAACCATTTTCCGACGTATTACCTCCTCCCGATCCAATTTACCGCGAACCATTAGCGATCCTAAGGCCGCTCGCTTATCCGGCCAATTTAAGGTTAGCATTTTCAGCCGAACCTCCCCGTTTCCCCGTTTCTCATCCCCCTCCGGCTTCCGTCCCCGTGGAAATAATTCATTCGCCAAACTGGGTTAAGTGCAGTCATTACGTCAATGGACGGACGGGAGGTAGGATTGCCGCTGCCGGGCCCGATCTTGAGCTTCTCGAATAAACGCTCATTCCCCGATCGAATAATAACATTAAAGCCGACCCCTTCGGCGTCGCCGTAATGAAATTGAAAGAATTTTATCTCGGGTTATCGCGCACGAAAATATCCTTTTCGTTGATCTTCCTTCTCGATCAGCGAGCAGTTTCGTCCTCGCTTTCGGGCCAGATCGCGTTTTGACCGTGGACGAGTGAGACCGAATTTTCGTTCGTCAGCCTCCGGATGACGAATGAATTTTTGTTCGTTATTCAATTGCCCGTAAATGTCGGATAAATACTTATCGATTGCTCGGTTGCCGGGTTCATTTGATATTCTTGACCGGTCGGGGTATCGGGCAGAGGTGCACGGGAAGGGAGCGGATATTACGCGCGCGTGCAGCCACTGCTCATGAACCGGAAAAAATTCGGCATCTCGCCAAACGGTGGTTTATCGACGACTATTTCCACGCCCTCGAAGCGTCTTCGCGTTCTCGCCTTCCGCCGACCCTTTCGAAGGGTGAAAACCGCGTTCCGCCCCTGCGCCACCCGTTTATCCGGGGCAATTGCGGCCCGGAGTGGGCGGTCATATTTCACGATGCGATCGCATCGGTCGGCGGGTCACCCGGTGCATCGGAAGACGCCGACTAACGCAAATGCAAACTGCATTCATTACGTTCTTGCTCTTCCGAGGACCCGCGCGTTAAGATTTCTTCCCCCTCCTGCGCGCGGTTGCAACTGCAGCAAGGGTCCCTTGGTTCCCCTGCCCCTTCCTCCGCCTCGCCTCCACCGAACCTTTTGACAAAAAACTGCACCCGGGACTCATTGGACGTAATTTTTGGCCGAGACGAGAACCGACGTTCCGCGAGACGGAAACCGCGCGCGGCCATCCGCGTCTCGTCCTCGGGTCCTCCTAAGTTGCGGCGCATGGCGACCGGCAATATTTCACGATGCAATTGCACCGCGCGGAGGCCTCGGAGGAACTCTCGGGGGAGCCGATCGACCCGGGTCGCCCGGGTCGCCCGGGTCACCAGGGTTACCCGGGGCCTCGGAAGCCACGTCTAACGCAAATGCGAACCGCATTCGTTACCTTCTTGTTTCACCGGAGCGTGCCGGCGGCGACGACCCCATCGCGTCAAGATTTACTCCCCTACTTACAATTAGCCGCGGCCGCTGCCCCGCGAGCGGAAAGCGAGCAGAGGACGCGCGGTCGGAACGTCTTTTTGCGCCTTTGGGGACGTCCCTTCGATTTACATGCTTTATGCAATTTTTCTAACTCTCGTTTGCGCCCGGCGCGTCGACGCGTCGGCGGACTGGAACGAATAAAGTTGTCGGCGCTGCGTCGGAATCACGGCGCGTCGAGTTGACAGAGAAGCGTCGTTCGTTAGACGCGAGGCCTGACCTTCGCGTCTTAATAAATTCCTGTCGACGGGATATTTTCGACCACTCGGGGCCACGGGATTTCGCCGGTGCTTAAACGTTTCATTAATCCGAAATGGGAAACCGGAGCGAGTCGCGAGTCGCCCAACGACGTTACACAAATTCTAATGAATCCCTCTCGACGCGTTACGGCTCGAGCAACAATGCGCATTTTTGTCGGCAGGTAACCGTTAATCCCGGAAAGGTACTTCCACGTCGCGAGTGGAGGCGACGGGTGAAGTTCGGCGGAATGGAGGCGGCGTTGGAGCGGTCCGCGAGAACCAAGGCTGGCATTATGTCATCATCGCGGCGAACAATGAGGATACTTAGCCGGGCTTATCCCGAGGGCGGAAAACTCGGCTCCAAGGGCGGTAAAACTCGAAAGTGAGACGTAAAACCGCGCGGTCGCCTCCGGGAAGAGGAAACGACCGTGAATCGGCCCTCGAATTTCGCCGCGTCTCTCCCGTGGGTTTCGGCCCAGAGGCCGCGAACTCTCCTACGACCGAAACCTCCGAAAATTACGTCCCGCGCGCGTCCATTATGAGTCATTTGTCCAGAAGGACGATATATCGTCCTCATCGGTGTGCGAATGTTCCGCTCGGAAGTTATGACAAGGATTAATACCGAGTTCTAAGTCTATTACCGTACGTCTTCTAGCTTGGCTTTTCCATCCCGGTCCCCGTTTGATTTTTCCTCTCGCGCTCTCGACGCCCGACTCGTAGAAATCACGTGCGAGGGAGAGGGACCGTTTTAATGAGAACGCCGGCGAGCGTTCGTCGCGTTTATAAACGTTGATTGACGCGTGGGCGGAAATCACGCGGAAAAGGCCCGCGGCGAGGTTGATTAATTCTATTTTGGCCCGCGTCCCGCGGAAATTTGAATTGCCCTCGGGCAAAGGGAAGGAAAAACTTGCGTTCCTCGCCCGTTCCTTTCCATGACAAAGGCAGAAACGCTTTCGCGACTCGCCGGGCCAGAAATAATCGTATACGCGAAACGGTCGAATTTTCCGAGTACACCCGATGACCCGCCGATCGAATTCCGCGCGAATTTCCGCCGTCGCCAATCTTTTTCACGAGGAACAAACGGCGCATCCCAGTTTTTCCACGGTTCTCCCCGACCCGCGAACTTCCATCCCCACGACTCGATGCGGAATCTACGCGACACGGATCCTCCGCTCGCGGCGTAGGTTCGTCGCGACCTGAGGCGACGCGTTTCGCGGATAAGAGGCGGTAAGCCAGGAATCCGCGACGGGAAACTCGTCGACGCGAAATGTAAGCATAACGCGTTCAAGAAACCCGGTCGAGACCTCCGGAAATCTCCATAAATACCGAACGCTGCCGGAAATCGCGGCGTCCCCGCGATATCCGTCCAAATAGCCCTCTAATACCGGCGTCGTTTTTCGCGAAACCCGTCGAAATATTTTCCCTCCGCCTCGGGCCGGAATATCCGCGCGAGACACGCGAAATAGACGCGACGCGTGCATGCCGTGCCGCCGCACAAAAGACAGCCTAATAAAAGTCCTTCCCCGTCCCTCTCTCTCCCTCTCCGGGGCGGATTAATCGCAAGATCCGAGCGCGGGTCACGCGATGCAATTTTCCTCGGGCGGCGAAAAAGAAAAACCGCGACGATGCGCGAATTTCGATCGGGCCCGGCCTAATTCGAAAGTCTGAACCGGCGAGGAGGGATATATTCGCCGGAAAAGAAATGAATTTGCAATGATTTATCGGGGGACATCGGCCAGGATCGTTGCACACGAAGCTTCCGTGACGGCTGGCCATTTTTCACGGTTGACCGAGAGGAATACTTATATCCGCAGGGTCGTGCCCTCGTGGGCAGGGTGTAGGTGGAAGGTGTACGTACGGTCGTAGGTTTGCGGGCACAGGTGACAGTGTCCGTGGAAATCCGCTCGACGTTTCGCCCGATTTCGCGGCGACGCATCGAGATTCCGGCTCGTCGTCGAACCGGAAACGTCAAACGTTAAGGTAAAGTGAAACACGTCGAGAAATTTCATCGACGTCGGTAGAAAATACTCTGCTAAACAGCCGCGTTACCGACTTTCATGTTTATATCGACGGTTGTGTCGAATTATTTTGGGCATTGTACCAAATGGCACACTCCGTGCGACGTTTCCGTGCAATGATTAAATATAAAGAAATTAAACTCCGGGAATCCCTCGAACGGGAGTCGCTTGTTCCTCGATCCGCCATTTTCAAGGCGAGCGCCCTTAACGGCGACGGGGCCTGACGTGTAAAAAAGACGGCGGTAATGAAAGGAGAGGAAGAAAAACTGGAAGAAGGGAACGAAGTGGCCCAGGAAGAACCTTATCTGTCTCGTCGTCGGCCGGAAGCGGCACTTCGCGATTAATAGCTCGCGTCACCGTGGATAAACGTTGAGGTATAGCGAGAGACTCCTCGGGACTTGGCGGGTCTGGACACTTCTCGTGTTCATATTAGGAAGAGAAATGCCAGGCCGTAACGAGGGGCGAACAAGAGCCGACTTAATCCATCAGGAAAGAGAGGTTTTTTCCGAAGGATGCGCCATCGAGGCCTCGCCTCGCTCGACCGACCGGAAATCGCGGGTCCGAAACGCGGGACGAAATGTGCGTTTCCATCAAAACGTCTCCCGCTTCGATCAAAACATTCGGCCACGCGCGTCGTGTACGTGCGAGGAGCTTATGTCGGGTCTGAGGCGAGCTCGCGTCCCTGGAGTGCCCGGGCGATTTGTATGCATGCGAGAACGAGAAACGAGCGTGACATGAAAGGATCCCGGCCCCTCGTGTGATATTGTTGTAATTACGTCCCCGTAATAAACTACCGCCGAAATTCCTTTGAGGGACCAAAGAACTCCATCGGATCCGCCGAAGCCGTGACCAACCCTTTCACTCGAGGGATCCCCCCCGAAAGAGGCGACTCGACGGCCCGGAAGGTTCCAAAGGGCGTACATCCCCCGGGAATGTCGTCGCCATATCGTCGTCTTATTTTTAATTCACCGTGAGATTTTTTACCCTTCGTAATTTCATTTTTGATGAAAAGATTTGAAAATGTCTATAAACAAATTTCGTTAATATTGAAATTTCATGGAGGCCGAGACCTTTCTTATAGCCCCCACGCTCGCGTTGTAAATTTTAGAGTGACTCGGAGTTCCCAGTTCGGAGAAAAGTTTCACGGACGAGATCTATTCGACGCCACTTTCGCGTCACCTTAAATGGTTCACTGGTGGGTTAATGATAACAACGACGATATTGCCTTGGCAATCCGACGTCTCCTCGTAATTATTTCAAGTGCTTCCCGGCGGGGACGACTTACCATTCGCGCGTTGCCTTCGCGACGACCATTACTCGGGATTCCGGCTGAGTCGACGATGGCGACTGAGAGTCGTAATTGACGATGGAGTGACAGACGAGGTGGGTCTCGTTGTGGTCGAGAATCGTTAGCTTGTGCTTCGACACCTGAAGCCGATCCATCGAGTCCAAAGTGACCCACAAACTGGAGGACGTTATCCAAGTAGGGTAGCTGCAGCTCGCCGTTTCCGGTTTCACTGGAAAACGCCAGAGATTCGCGCGAGAGATGAAAAGTGTCGCATCGAAGGCCAAAATGGGACGATAATTTTAGTTGAATTACCGCACGGTTCGGACTCCGGGTTTCCCTTCTTTGCGTTTAATTTGACCGCCTCTCGCAAGGGTGGAAAAATGTGGAGAGACCGTCTGAATTTTTAAGCCGCTTAGTACCCGAGGTAAATTTATTTTGGTACACCGACGGTGTGAAATATTAACGCACCACGTGTCGCGCAAAGTGACTGCCCCGGAAAAATAAATCGCGCCCTCGTGACCTTCCCACCGCGGTAATTTCCTGCCACGCCCTGACTCGGCCGTGATGAAATATAAATTTTCCAGTAGATTCGAAACCCCTCGGGTAAAAACTCGCGGTCGCATTCGCGGGGCAGCGACCGGACAGCTTTCGATAAATATCCACGGAATGACGAAAATCCTGCTTGGCCTCGATAATGCCTACACGTCGGACAAGAATTCGTTCCAGGGTCCGCGACCCGCTCAAAGTTTACATGCCCTCGTTCTCTTCTCCGTGTACCACCACCCCGGAATACCTCCGGGAAGTTTGCATCTTCCCAAGAGAATTTACCTCCCTACTTGATCCAAAAACACGGTACCGGTGAAAACTTCCAAGAGTAAGTTTCTGTATTTCTTGCCACGGAGGAAATTCGCGTCTCATCGAGCGGAATTCGTCGAGATTTCCCGGAATTCCATGGGGGCTTCGCTTTTGAACGGTTCCGTATAAAAGAATTCGCGAGAAAGGAAAAAGCACCACGAGAAACCGCTCGTTGCTATCCTCTCACAATGGGAGAAATAAATTTATAGTTTTTTTTTTCTCACCACTGTAAATAACGCGCAGCCGCGCGCCCACAAAAGAGGGGGAAAAAAATTAACCGGTCTCCCAATTTCGGTCAGATTACCATCCGCGCTCTCATTTCCGTGGTCGATAATCGCGCTCGAGCTTAATATTTGCACGGATCATGTATAATTAGAACCGATTCGAGACGGTGCGCCGTCGACCCGGTCGGACGTCCTCTCGATTCGATTATCGAATGCCGTTTTAACAGGACCGACACGCCGAAAGTAGGGAGGCGAAAGGGTGAAGGACTGGAATCGAGGGAGATTCAATTTTTAGTTAATCGAATTCGCAATTCGAAAATCGTGAAATTATGGACGCGGCGAAAAATTGGACAACGTTATGACCTACCTTGCTCCATTTTAAACGTTTTCGCTCCTTCGGCGACGCTGAGCAATCCGTTGCAAGTAGCGTCGCCACTTTGTGCAAGGTTCCAGATGTCGCCGGGGCTTTTCTCGTAGATAAAACACCTGTACCGATCTTCGTCGTTCTTCAGTCTCTCTCCGTACAGACGTACGACGAGGTATTGAGTGCTGCCTTCTCGCCAGGTAGCCAGGCACTCTAATTCCACCTCTGCGGACGAAACCGTTCGCATTATTCCGCACAAATAACAGGCAATGGCAAGTGCACTCGTCGTTATGCCTTAACGCGGGTTCGTTCCTGTCGTTCACTTCTAAAATTACACCGAGTCGTGCAAAGTAATGAAAGAGTTCGACGAATTATGAACGCAATTACAGAGAACGCGGGACAAAGGATCTCTGACTCTCCCGATCGAGCGTAGTCGCCTTCGTTTTTCAAGCGAAAGAATATAAAAGTTTTACGAACGATCGACTTCTCGAGTGCAACTTTCGTATCACCTTAAAGAAAGGGAACAAACGCTCACCGGTGCTCTCGCTGCGCGCGACATCCGCACAAGCCTGATACCTCAGCAGGATCCTGGAGTCCTGGGTGCAGGTTTCGGCAAGAGACATGGGGTTCCTGCACTCTGCTTCGCCCCGACTATAAGTGAACTGCAAAGGACCCTTGAAAGGACACGTCGAGGGTGCAGCGTTCGATCGGAAAAGCGAATTCAAGGCTGCATCCCCGGTCAGCTCGTCGCAAACTGCATCCAAGCCTTCCCAGTCGTTGTAACAGTAAGCTGTAACGAGCGAGATTTTTTTGTCAAGGACCAACGAGAACCTCGGACGACAGGGCTCGGAGCAGGTCAGGGAAAATCTCTCGCCCCGAAAAAACAAGGATACGAATATAGTTTCGCACGAAACAAGGACTTCCCGGACAGGGAAGAACCACGGAGAGAAGGGATACTCACTCTCTTTATACTGCAACACGTTGGTGTGCTTCTCGTGTATGACTATGCATCGATGGCAGTTGTGCTTCCTGCAACAACGAGGACGCGAGTAAAATCTTCGGATATCGAGACGGGAGGGGAGGGAAAAGCTGCGGAAAGAGGACATGTCGGAGCGCCCCTAATTTCCCTGCAATCGGACTAATGCAACGCCCTGCAGCCTGAAGTCGCGAATTTTTGCCTCTCAGTTTAATTGCGCTCGGTCGAGAGGAACATCGGCTTGGAACTTTCTTAATCGCGTTTAAAACCGATCGGGGGAAACCTTGGATATAGTCATTTCTTTTGTTCACAGTCTCTTGGTCGCGTAAGGCACGTTCGAACGGTCGAGGAGGGACGTTGGCGAGTCTCGCCGTCGAAAGGGAGATAGGCTCATCGATCCTCTTTCGTCGGAGGCAAACGCGCGTTTAAAGTTAACCGGCACGGGGCCGATAAACGGTTTCGACGAATTGTTCCTAGTTGTTCCCGGGAAAAGCAATGCTCGTCGCGAGTTAAGGTCGGCGCGCCTCGAGGGGCCGGGGGTTCCGTACCTATCCGCCCTCGTTCCCAGCCACGAGATAGAGACTCGAACGTTTCCAAGAAACTTTCGTCGGTTTTTACCGTGTCGAGCGCCTCGCCGACGGAACGCCTCCGAAGAGATCGATATTCCCGCGCTGATAAAATCCAATCCGATTTCGCAGGGGCGCTCGAAGGGCCGTCCAGCAACTCCGAATCCCCCAAATGTTTGCCGACCGGCGAACTTGATCGAATCATACATCGAACACGGACTCCTCCATTCTTTCTGCCTCGTTTTCGATTTTACGCTAAAATTTCACCGGCGCCTTTCGAGCCGATCCGAAAGGATTCGAAATTCCTCGACGGGAGAATCGAGAATAAGGAAAATCGACAGATTGCTCGGCATTGCCTCGAATCGATCGAATTTTCAACGATGAAGAACAAAAGGTTAAGTAAAATAATTTAGGGAGCATGCCTCTCGATTCGTTCTTGGAGAGCACGGGGAAGAATATTTTCCATGAGATCGACGGAAAAGTCGCCTTCGTTGGAACAAGTTCCCTAACGAGAGTCGGTCTTGCGCGCTTCCGATAAGCCCACTTATTTAATTCTGTCGGCTCAACGATCACCCTCCAGTTATAGAATTCACGATAAAGAGACTTCTCTCATTTCCACGGAGACGTAAGAAACATTCGACGCCCTCCAGAGATATCCCATTTTGAGGGTCTCTCGACTATCCGACATTCCGTGTGCAATAATTATCGCACATCGGCGATCGTCTGAATTCTTGATTTAAGAAGTTAACGTAACGACGTCGTCGTCAAAATCTAATTCACCAAGGTGAATAAAAATGTCCGATTTCCTGACCTAGGTACATAACGAGCTTTGTTCCGGGAACGCTAAGAGCCATAACCACAGGGTAGAAAGTGTCCTCTCGTTTCCCTAGAATTCCGATTTTCCGGGCTGCTCCATCACCCGACGACCTTCGCCTCCCTACCTCGGGGCTCGTATTTATTTAACCGTTAACAAATCGCTTACGTTAAGTCGAGTATTCGCATTTTAACGAGATTCCAGAGAAAATGGGAGGCGGAGGGTTCCCTAAGAACGGGCCGGTGCACTCTCGGCCGATTGCAGCCTCTCGATAATTTCTAATGCTTTATCGCGCCGTCGGCTCGAGTCTTGCCTGACAATAATGCGAGGCGCCCCGGGAAATGAGAGCTCGTACGACCGATTTCTTATTACTCGCGGTCTGCTGCAATTTCCTCCGATTTCACCGTTTGAGGCGCGGAAACGAAGTCGACCTCCTAACGAAGAAGGTATCCCGGCTGTCCCTCGCCGAATCGATTCACTTTAAAATAAGTTAGAATGAAAAATAAGAGACCATTTCACCCCCTTAAAGTATTTTTTCGTCGATAAGAAAACATGAGTATTTCTTGTTTTTTGGTCTATTGTAACATATAATGATTCGATTTGGCGACGGACACCTGGGATACCTTCCTTGCAAGAGCGGCGAGTCGAAACGAGTCAAGCCGAAATTTTCCCTTAATTCTTCGATCGGCTTTCGACCGAGGGTGATTTCGAGCTCGCGTTCCTCGAAGGCGTCCCTCGGGAGAGGGGTGTCGGAGACCGAAGGGTCCAAAGGGCCACAAAGGGAGCCACGGTCCACGTACGAGGCGGGTTGTCGTAGGTCGCGTGCCGCCGTCACGTTCGGCGCATAACTCGCGGACTTGGCTCGCTCGGACGAGTCCCGTCCCCGATATTCCCGTCTCGCTCCTCTTCGCCCGACCCTCCGGTACTTCTCCGATATTACTTGCACACTGGGTTACCCTGCCATCCCCCTGACACACAATGTACGTGCATACCACGGACAGGGAAAAATCTCTTGAGAAACGACGCGCAGGGAATCCGATGGATCTCGCTCCCCGAAATTTATTCCCGTTGGTTATACGTGGGACTCCCGGGACGTGACCCGGGATCGGGGACCTTCCAAACGTCGGCGCCGGATAGTTTAGCGGAAAAACACCGAAAGAGGGCCCTCGCATCCCTCGAACGACGTTAAACGATTACCTAACCCTTTGCCTCGTCTGGCCGCGAATCGTATTTATCTTACGACTCCGACTCTCCCCGGAGTTGACTTTAACGCGATTCCTTTACTCGAAGTCGTCGTTTATCTTTTTGGCGCTTTAAGTGGGGAGGCTAAAGCACCTCGTCTCTTCCGTTTGAAAATTCCAAGAAATCCACGATTCCGCTGGCGAGTCGGTAGTACGACGCGCAAACACCCGTGGACGCGCGTTTTCGGGCATAGAAAAATGCTTTTAACATATTGCCACCGGCGCCGCCCCAACCGAGCATCACCTGGCGGGGTCTCGTTCCATTTACGTACTTTATGACATACGTCATTTGTCCACGCCGCCATTCGCGCGCGCCCAAAATAGAAAAATGGCCACACGATCGGCCACGTCGAGGTTGGCGCGTCAAAACGCATTTGTGCCTCTCGTTTCCCCCAAGACGGCGATTTCCACCGTTTCGCGCCCGGGGGGCGATAAGGCCCACAATAAGAAAGCAGGAGCTCCGGGCTGGGTACCTCGGTGGCTTCTCGACGGCGAAGACGCGGGGCCGGCCGGAAGTCGGCCCTTTTCCCGGGGGAGAACGCCCCCGCCGGGGAAATAATTCTTCCCGTCTCGGAGGAGGTTCTATTTAATTGCAAACGCGGCGTGTTTACCGCGAAGCGAAGGCGCCGGAAATGCCGGTAATCCTCGGTAATACCTCGAGTAAGCCCCGGCGGCATAACGGAAGCAACAGAGGTTCCGAAGTTCCCGCCACCGGCGAGGGGAGTCCGCGAATCGAGGCTCTCCTCCGAACGAAGAGCCGGCCAGTGCATCTATTGATGCATTATTTACGCAACTTCACACAGAATGCACTTCGAGGCAAAGAGCATTCACCGTTCCGATCCCCGGCACGGCCCGGCCTCCGCTCTCGATTCGCGCCGCCGCCATCGACCCGAACCGTCCACCCGGGCCCTGCAACGCCATTTATTTTGCAAAATCCTAGCCCTCCGGCAACTTCGCCCTGCGAAACGATTACACGCCGTGGAAACTGCTCCTTTCGTCGCCGAGCGAGCCCATCGCCACCACGTTTCCATGTTCTCTCGGTTTTTCAATTTTTACAAGCTCAACCCGAAACGAAATTTTGATCCCACTTAGGTCCTCCAATTGTAGATCTTAAATGGGTTTTAGAGCGACATACTTTCGTACGTTCAAAGTTCTATTTTAGATCTTAAAAGTGTCAGATATTTCCATTTTCTCCTCGTAGGCCTAAAGTAGGACGTAAGAGGTTGAAAGCAGGACTTAAGCGAGGGAAACGGCGTCAAAAGAGGTCGTACGTGGGTTATTCAGATTTAAAGGAGGGCTAAAATTTCGACTCGCGAGATTTCGAACGTTGTGCGCATTGCAGGGAGGTGCGTCGTAACGCCCAAAGTCGAACTCCGTTTAGCACGGAGCCCAGAGAAAACCCAAGGCCTAAAGAAAACCGCGGCAAAGACAAATATCCGCCTCGATCGCGGTAGAGCTCGGCTCGAGAGTTGGAGAACGAAAAATTGCGAAGAGGGGAGAAAAAAACAGAGAGGAGAAGAAATCTACTCGATTTTACGCCCGAGCAATTGGTTCTCGCCTCGAACCGGTGCCAAGCCGGAAAATTCCCTTTTGAGGCCTTTTCCTGCATCGAAAGGTGGGCCGGGTTCGTTCACGGGCGCGATTGCTCCGTTAATTAAATCTATCCGTATCGTCGGGGTGCTCCAATGAAGATCGTGAGAACCTCTGGTAAAAATCGAACAGGGGGCGAGCATAAGGTATCGATTGGGGAGCCTTAAGGCGCGGGGAGGAGGAAATCCCGGAGGTGGAACGTGCGCGATAATTGCCTGATAAATGGCGACAGCGCGCGGCTCGCTTTCTTCCGCGATTTCTCTTGTATTCCGGTTTCCCGTCTCCCTTGGAAATGGATTTACCCGAGATCATTGGACGCGAGGGAAAACGTGGAATCCGGCAGGGCAGGACTTCGCACCCGTGAATTACTTTCATCGGGACAATGAATTATTCACGGGGCGTCGCCGCACGATGTAACCGACGCGAGGTATCGTCGATACGATATCGCGCGCGTATGGCGACCCGAAATCGGAGCATCTACACTCGTTCGGTGTAATTGCCTCGTCAGATAGTACAACACGGTCGCGTGACGCGTGTAATGCAGGAGGGCCGCCGTTATACGGATTTAGGCCGGGCATTTCGGGGGCCATCGAGTGCCTTGTTCGCACCGTATAGTACCGCTCGTGCATCACCTTACATGGCTATAGATGCACGCTGCACATAAGGCACTTGGGACGCGCCCGATGTATACAGGTCCACGATGCACCGGCTGCAGGATGCAACGCTTCTTACGGGGTCGAGTTTTTGCTCGATCGTCCCAGACATCGAATTTCCGTTCCGGGGCGCGTCCATCCCCCGCGATCCGCAGGGACGACATAGTTGGTTTAAACAGCTTTTACCCGGTCATACCCGCTCGTACCCCCTCGTACCGCTTTAGTCAGGTATTTCGTCCCTGTATTCGTTAAACCTCCGGGCGACTCCGACACGCGTTTCACATTGGAGCGACGAGATGCATCTCGTCCCGACATTTCGTCGTATGGACGTTCGAGCGAGTCCTCTTCGGGTCTATCTTAGCGACGTCGCCAGAAGCGAATTCAATGACCCGAAGGATACGACGAGCTTAATCGATGTAACGTCCTCGGAGGGTCGGTTCCTCGATTGCGGTTTAGGCCGCGACAGAGATCCCGTAATCTCTCGGGGAGGTCGAAGGATACGCGGGATCACCCGGGACCCCATGGTAGGACGAGTTCCTCCCCCACGAGGAAAAAAATAATTAGCGGCACGGCTCACCGAAGAGGATAAGTCCGCCCCTTGAGGGGAGGATTTTTACGTCACGGGGCTATCTTGATGGATTGTACCGGAAATGGCGGCCGATTAGGTGGGTCGATCGTCCTCTCTTTTCGTCGGTCGAGTCGGCTAGCGCGAAGTAACGATCCTAAAATCGCAAAAGTGGGTTCGGTTCTCCGACGCGGGAGGTAAACTTGCGAGAAGTCGTCGGAGGGCCGGAGAGGACGCTTAAAAAATACAGAAGGACGGACGCGAGGCCGAGAGGGAGAGAGAAAGACAGAGAGAGGGGGGAAATAGAGCGGAGCGACAATTCCGGGTGCACGCCGGAAATCAAATAATTCAGGGGAAGTTATGCGCCCCCGCGAAATAAACTTCGGCTCCAATTCAAATCCAATCAGGGGATATTCTGTCGGGAAAATCGAGGAAGACCATAACGCGCCCCTTTCCTCCGCCACCCTTTTCCCGGACGATATCATATTATTCATATGCCGACAACGCGCGAAGCCGTCACTCCGGACGCAAAGGCAATATAACGCCTTTTTTTCCCTCCCCGCTGTCGGAAATGACATTGGTCGGACGGAATCGACTACTCCTGTCCCTGCGGCCCTCCCGCCCCTTCGACCCCCCGCGGTCTCCTCGAGTGATCGATCCCTGCGGCGGAAAGGAAGAGCGGGCTCGCTACTCCGGAATCGACGCTGCCGGCCAATTTAACGCATTCCACCATTCGATGGCCCGCGACGTCCCGATCCGTTTAAAACGAGACATCGCCGGAATTACGAGCCCCCGTAATAGGCCTTAAACGCGCCGATTTTCCTGGCGCCGGCCGAGCGTCCCCCCTCCGGAGAATCCAGATCCAGGAATCGACTTCTCCCCCCAACCGAACGCAAAACGCCGAAAAGGACCTCCCATCGAATCCAAAATCCATCCCCAAGAAAAATCTCTTTCGTCCTCTCCGTCTCGGATCGCAACGCTAAATACATCCAATCGACGCCTCTTAAGATCCGCAACGACTCGATTCTACCCGAACCTACCCCAACGTCCCTGGGCCGCGGTCAATTGCGTAAATGAAATCCTCGATGTCCCTCCGTCTCTTTTGCCGCATTATTTACCTCAATTGGACGGTGAAATTTCCTCTCCCTCCCCGCGGAGAACCGCCAGCGAATGATCGCGAGGGAAATTAGAGACGGTGTCTATCGCGGACGAGCGAGCGAGAGAGAGAGAGAAAGAGAGAAAGAAGGAGAGAGAGTGGGTCGATTCGCAGCGAGAGGGAGAGGGGGGTCACGTCTCCCGTCCTCGTCGGCTGATCGAGTCTTCCCTCCTCCTTCTCGTTCTCCCTCCCCACGACCCCCCTCGACCTCCTAGACCTTCCCGGTCGGAAGGTGGAACGTGCTGATTGGGAGGCTAATCACGCGCCACTCTCCATTACATTAATTAAAACTTAGCTCTCGACTCCCCCCCGCGAATGCCGCGAGCGAGCACTCGCCTCGTCTTATCCTCCTCTCTCTCTGTCCCCCCACGTCCCCCTCCGACTCGCCGTTACGCGCGCGTTAGTCGACAGGACGGGTCCCCGAAACGTTATCGCGGACATCGGGTCGCGTAATTTTGCGCGACTCTTGGATAAGGGCGGAGCGGAAAGGGGCACCTCGGCCGTCGCGACGCCGTCGTCTCCGGTCGCTTACAAGATCGCGGCCCGGGGTAAAGGGCGTTTCGAGGCGAGGCCGGCACCGCGTGTAAATGAAATTTGTCCGATAAAAACGTTTTCCAATAATTGGCCAGAGGCGCCGCGATGCCGGAAAAGCGCGCCGCCCCGAAATTGGACGATCTCGGCCGGACATAAATCTCCGATAGCGCGGCCGATTCGCGCGATCGACCCGAAAGGAGATTTGGACCGATCGCTGGAGGTGGTGGATTTCGTCCCGGTCGGATCGTTGGCGTTGTCGCGACGACTCGGGCCGCTTGGAAAATCGGAGCGAAGAGCGCGAGGCCGGAAAACTCACCAGTCTTTGAGGAGGAACTTTTCCCCGTCCGTGTGGATGCACTGGCCCTTGGTCATCATGGCCGTCTCGTTGACGACGATGAGTCCTGTGACGCCCGACTGGAACCATCCGCCCATCCACTGTTTCGGAAATTCGCATCCTGAAACACGAGGTCGAGGGGTAGTCGGGGTCTCGAGTGCTCGGCGGCGCGATTAAAAGTGCCGGCCGGCTAAAACAACGGGCCCACCCGAGGATACCCCGAGGTTTACAGGGAGCCAAGGGAAGATCATCGTTATGCAAGGGAACAATGCCGCTCGCAATTTCGAAAGGCTCCGTCGTTCCGCGCTCAAAGCCCCGCGAACGTCATTTCCGATTCCGAGGGTAGTTGAAATTCCTCGAGCGCTCTCATCGAGTCAATGGAAGGATCTCCCTCCGAGGCTGCAAAGGAGCAACGACGGGCTCCGGGAGGGCGGAAAAATAGAGAACCTTTCGCGAGATCGGATTATAAAGGGGGCCGGGAACGTTTGTAGACGCGTAGGCAGGTACGGGGATTACGCGTAAGACGCTGCGATTAAGCATTGTTTGCCGGAAGCATTTTGCATTTAATAAGAGAGCGAGAGTTTCAGAATTTCTTGCCGAGGAGTCGAAAGGCGGGCGGAGGGAACGGCGCGAAACCCCCGGGCGAGGTACGCCGGTCTCCCCTTATCGCAGCGAGAGGAAAAGTCCGAGACGGGATTGCGAGAAATTCGGCCGAATTTTCGAACGCGCCCTCGCGCCGACTCGCATTGAGGTGTTACATAAGGGTCGTTCTATATATTTGTCGAAACGTTAAAATATTTCTAGCACTTTTCTAAATATACCGACGTTGTGGTGTATACGGAATCACCCTTTCGTAACCCCTTAACCCGCTCCAACTCGCACCGAACCCACGGCCGACGCGGCCGGGTCGCGGCTCGCCGTGGACGCTGCTCGAATGCCGAGGAGAATCCCCCGGGGGAATTCTCGGGGATGATCCTGGAAATCGAAGCTTTCCATTGTAATTCTCGTAGTCACGGTAGATTGCCTCGTCGCCGAGGCGCAGCGATTATAAATTCTCGGGAGCAGTCGCAACTCCGCGGGATTGGAAAGCGGCCACGCCAGGGCGAAGGGCCGGAACGAAGGTGCGACCCTCCGGAGATGCCGGCGATAACTGAAAACGGGATTCTCATTTTTCCCCTCCCCGCTCGGTTTCCTCTCGGTTAGGAGAAAATACCCAGAAAGAGCGAGGACGCGGAGGCACCCCTTAATGTCCGCGCGGTGTACTTTGCGGTACACCGCGGCCGTCCCTCCTCGACAACTTTTCGCCATTAAGGGGACCGGACAACGACTCGGCGACGAAATGAAAATTCGAGGAAACTCGGTTTTCGACGACGGCGACGGCTGCCGGGGATCGATCGTCTCGATATCGCGAAAGGACGCGGCGAAGGATTAAATTTCGTTCCTTCGCGACCTCGCCGACGTTCGTCAAGGTACGTCCGTCGCGCCGAGCCGATTCGACGGAGGAGAAATAACTTGATTAAAATAATCCATCACCCCGTACCGACAAGGCTGATTGGCTATCCGAGTTAAATATGATGGAGTGGTTTCCTCTCGCGCCTCCTCCCTCCGGTCACCTCGGCGCGTCTCCTCGTCCTCCTCCTCCTCGTCCTCCACCTCGAGCCCTTCCCGACCGCCGTCTCTTTCCACCTATCCATCCATCCATCTATCATTCCGCATTTATCAACCGAACCAAAGCGATCGGTCACGCGCGTGTATCGCGTATCGACTGTGACGTTAATCCGCGCGGATGTCCCTTTTTTGCCGCGCGTCCCGTTAGAGGAAATGGGAATATCGACGGATACTCGCGCCTGCCGCGGATTTCCCTATAAACGGTTCGCTTTTTTCGGTTCGTCCTTTGTCCGAGCGCAAAGACGATATTCCGAAGGACTGTTACTCGAAAATCAATAAATACGATTTCCTTCTTTAAACCGTTGATATCATACGATAAACGACAACGTGATTCGACAATAAGTTCAACTTTCGCGGTCGTTGTCCCTGTGTGGCCCTGCAAATCGCGAGGGTGGTGGGCGCCCCCTAAAAGTAACAACGATCCGTCGAAGTCCTCGTCGCGTTTGCTCCGAGACATCAGGATACCGGATACTCGACGAAAAGGACTTCGAGTAGCCACCGGTGAGAGTCCTTCCTGGGTCGTATCGGAAACGAGGAGTTCGTTAAATTCGTCGCCCAAATGACCGCGCGTATTTCGAGGAGAAACGCCGTTTTTCAGGCTCGATTCGTCGATTATTCCGGAAGTTCGACGCGGGAAAGGGCGAACGTAAAAGGCAACATTTTCCCTCGGCCGCTCGTATGCAAAACGCGGACGCATTTATCATTCCGCTTTCGATTAATCCCCCACTTCTGATTTCCGGCACTTCCGGCGCGTCAGATCCGCCGCTCCTTCCGCAGGGCCAATTTCGCGGAAGGGCGAATCGCGCAATAACCCCTTTTTCGCGTGGTAGCCGATCGCCCGGTGGAAGCTCCCGATCCCGAGAAAATATTTCGGTTCGTTTGAATCCCGCAACCAGGCCGAGTGGATTTAATTAAACAGAACAAACGTAGCTACGTGCGTTACTTGAATCCGTATCCGCGCCGAGCCACAATATCCATGACGGGCTCGTCGGCGAGCTTTCCTTTTTTCCCCGAGGCTTTCCCTCGGCGCTTTCCCTGTGCTTTGTCTTCCCCCGAATCAACAAACGTAATTTCGCTTCGCAACGCGCCTCCGCAATCGCGAGATTTTTCGAATATTAGCGTTTGAATTATACTGGGGAAACACTGGTTAAGATCACCCGGCGATACGTTTTCCGTCCTATCGGAGAGAAAACGACATCAAAGCGGAAGTCCACTTGAAATGAAGGAAAATCAAAGAATATTCCCTCATAATTTCAAGGAAAATCATAGCTAAAATTTTCTCTACCCCGACTTCGCTCCTCCGGCCCGGAGAGCAATGAATGCGACTAACGAGTCCTCGTGGCATTTAGCGAGTATTTAAAATAGCGGCATTAGAGAGTACGGTACGTATCTCAGGGCTTCGTTTGAATAGCCGACCGCGAGGTCGAGTTAAATATGATGGAGTGGTTTCGAAATCCGAAATCTCGCCGATGACGACCGGAAGTACAAGAAACGAGAGGGAACGAGGTACCGACTCGGGCATGAATACGTGGCATTAAGGGAAATGGCGATTCCAAGGGAAGCGCTTCGTCGATGGCTTCGGAGTCCCCTTAACCCGCTTCATAACTTAATGAAATGGATTCGAGTCGTCGGAGAACGCGTCCCTTAGCGAGGTTTTCCCTCGGCGGTTTTTCCGCGCTTTTTTCCATCGCGCGGCCCGACAAATGTAATTTCACCCCGCCGCGAGATTCTCCAAACGTTGGATTCTGAATTATAGTCCCGCGGACATGTTCCGGCCGGAGGAAAAACACGGGGAAAATGGGGAGAAGGGCGGCACTAATAAGAAGAGGAAAACTCGAGTCGGCCGGCGACTCCTGAGGGGGAAAGTCGGCGACATCGCTAGAAACTGCCTTTTCCATTAGGCAACTTTTCCCCGAGCCGGTGTATCCGAGAGTCGCGGCGAATTCCATTGTTGGCCCAAGTGCCACGGGCCCGGGAATAAAAGCTCCTCGTTACTTTACGCAAAGTGTTCCAGGGGAGTTTCGGTTACCACAGCGGAGACGATGCCGACTGCGAAACGACGAGGCCGATTTTATGGCACTTTTTGCGATCGACGGATCCCGGAACTAACCTCTGAATCGACGCCGTTTCGACGGCCGCCCTTGGCTATTCCTCCGTTTCCGAAAACGACGCGTCCACGGGGGAACGCTCTTCCCGTCCCCTCGAAAGCCGTTTCCCGACCTGGTTACGACAATGGAGCGTTCAATTAGACTTACCGAAAGACGGGATTTTTATCGACTGCGGGGCGCGTCGACGCGAAAGCGCCCTCGAGTTGACACCCTTTTACCCCGCGTGCTGTACCCCGTCACGGCACGCACGGTAAAAAGCCCGTGCCGTTTTTCAGATAACCCCGGTTTACGGCCGACCCGTACGTAAGTTTAACAGACGGAATTAATTTCCTCCGCGATTCGAGTCCCCTTTACAATCCCTTTGAATCGACGCCACCATTGGGGGGCCCCCCCGTCGACGCTGCGCCCGACGACGCGGAATTTTCCGGGGATATCTCCTCGGGGAAAGGGATTCTAAACTTCGTTCTTTTTACAAAAAAAAAGCACGAAATAAAAAATCGAAGGAAGGGAGATAAAGGCAGACTCGGGAGGGCGGCGACGGGGGGAGAAAAAACTCCCATCGAAATATCCCCAGGCAAGAGCCCGGGAGACGCTCCGGAAGATTCGGCGAGGCTTCGCGAGATAGCGACAGTACAAACAGCCGATGTTGACTCCGTCGGGAAACCGGCGAATCCGACATCCGGCATCCGCCATCCGACATCCGCGAGGCGATTGTAAGTTTTCCCTTTTACCTCGTCTCGCTCCCAGGCGATCCGCCACCCTCCTCCGCGAAGCCGCGATTTCCACTCGTTTCGTGGGAAATTAAATACAGAAACGCTCCACTCGGGATATATACGGGGATACGCGTATATAGGTACGCGTCGGAGCCGGAAGCCCGGGTCGGAAAACTCGGGAAACCACCCCCACCTACTTGTTGAAATCAAGTTCGAAACCGGAGGGTAGCTCGGCTCGTCGCGCTTTTCGCCCCGTAGGCGCGATATTTACAAACGGACTTCCGGACTTGCCGAACCGGAACCAGAAATCGGAGCCGATCGATTACGGAGAGCGTCGATTCTTCCTCCGCGATTCCAGCGCTTCTTTAATCCGCAGAGTCGAGGCGAAGGAACGGCGAACACCTAAGAACTATCCCGACGCATTCAAAATTTAGATTTCGAATAAAAATTTGTTTGACTCGGTCTAGACCGGAACCGACTTCTCCTCTACCTCCATTTTTTTCTTAAAAGTTCGCATGGGGCGGAAATCGCCGTCGCAGTTCGACGTGGGCCATTCCTCCTCGCGGCGTCGCGCCGGGACTCGTATCGGCGAATCTACCCCTGGCTCGATCGCGACCGACGCGGGAGAGAGG